AACATTTTGGTTGCTAAGCAAGAGTGTTGTTAAGTGAGTTTCACCACATTTTACAAGTTGGCCACGCCCACCCAGTCACATGGCCAGCAAGCCACACCCACCCAGTCACATGACCGGTAAGCCATTCCCACCCAGTCACGTGACTGGCAAGCCACTCCCACAAAGCAGGCCACACCTACAGTTTCAAATTCTAAAAAATTTGAAACCCACCACTGGTGTGCATACACACGCCAGCCACCTGGTGTTTTGTTTTCCAGCATGCGCATACATGCCAGCCAGCTGGTCTCCACATGCACCAGAGCCCCAGGAACTGAAGACCAGGCGCTCCGGCACATACGAAGATCAGCTGAGCGTCGCTCATGTACCAGGGGTGGTATTCACTTACCTTCCCTACCGGTTGGCAAATGTAAGCGCATGCACTCAGCCTTGCTGATGGTGAGCATGCATTTTGGCTAAAACAAAAGGAGCCTAAATGGGATGCCATAGAGCTGGGGCAGGTGGTGGGAGTCACCTGTGATTACCACTACCCAGGGGTGGGTTCCGGCTTCTTCTACTGCTGGTTCGCTCAGGGACGCGCTTCGGGCGCACGTGCGCTTAATGCACGCAATGCCAGTGGTGGGTTCCAGATCCCGTTCCAACCATCCACATGCGTCTTAGTGCCTCCGCAGCGCTCCGGCTGCTTCACACGCTATGCGCAGAAGTCTTAAAAGATAGGTAAGGAGTTCCGGTGGGCGGGCGGGGCCCTCCGGAGCAACGGTATCTGGTGCTCCGGGCAGGCTCCGGTATGCCCATACTGGGCCTTCCGCCTGCAACCCACCACTGCGCAACGCGCACATGCGCAGTAGGCTTTTAAAAAAGCTGTGCTTGTGCAGAAGCAAAAAAACAAGATAGTGGCCCCGTTAGAACCGGTTCGGGGGTGTCGCCAGCTGAGGAAACAACCTCTTGAAGAAGAGCAGCTGGCACGCGTGCCCATGCAGAGGGCTCTGCCTGCCACCTCTGGCACACACCCCATACTTTTGCCATCACAGCAGAGGTGGGTTCCTACCAGTTCGCACCTATTTGGTAGAAACGGTTCGTCAAATCTACCGAACCAGTTAGAAGAGGTTTCACCAGTAGACCCGGAAAGCAGGCCACACTTACAGAAGAGGTT